CTGAGATCTGTTATGGGCCGGAAATATTCCCCAAAGAGTTCTGAATGTTTTAGTTTTCTTCTACAGAGGGGAAAGAAAAACCAGAGTCTGATCACTAGGTTGAAGTTGCTTCTGGTCCCGGTTAGTCCAGACCTAAAGCTTCCTGCATTATTCAGAGGGCTGGAGGTCCGTTTGCTGAAGTTCCAGGTGGTCTCAGGTGGTCCCAGTCGGTCTTAGCTGGTCCCAGATGGTCTCAGTTGGTCTTAGCTGGTCTCAGTCGGTCTCAGCCAGTCTTAGCTGGTCTCAGTCGGTCTTAGCTGGTCTCAGGTGGTCCCAGTTGGTCTCAGGTGGTCTCAGCCGGTCTCAGTCGGTCTTAGCTGGTCTCAGGTGGTCCCAGTTGGTCTCAGTCGGTCTCAGGCGGTCCTAGATGGTCTCAGCTGGTCCCAGTCGGTCTCAGGCGGTCTCAGTCAGTCCCAGTTGGTCCCAGCTGGTCTCAGTCAGTCCCAGTTGGTCCCAACTGGTCCCAGTCGGTCTCGGTCCGTCCCAATCGGTCCCACGTGGTCCCAGTCGGTCCCAGCCAGCCTTAGTGGGTCCCAGCTGGTCTTAGCCAGTCCCAGTTGGTCTCAGGCGGTCTCAGCCTTTCATGAGGAGGGGGGGAGACCTCCACCTTCTGACTGAGGGGCTGAATGGCTCCTCAGGCTTCCTCCGTTACTCCCTGAGCTTCCTGCTGTGCCTCTGGTCATGTGACCGCTCCACGCCGTCTGATTGGTGGAGTCAGGCGGGCTGGGCTGGGGCTCTTCTAAGTAGGGTTGTCAAAAGTATCGATACTTGAAAAAGTATCAATGCTAAAATGTTGTATCCGGATACAATACTCATTTTCAAAAGTATCGATACCACCCCCCCTTCTCTCCAATTTATTTATGTATTTATTTACGTTGTTTATGATCATTAACAAGACGTTAGCCTTGAACTGCTAGCTGTGGCTAATGGCTAATAATAACATGCTACCATTAATCAAGTACATATATCCAACTCCGCCCGCATCCAAGTCGGCCATTTTGATTAGGTCACCAATAGGAAGATCCCAGGCAAGAAAATCCTAATTGCCTCATGGCAACATAGACATTAATTTAAAAATAGTGAAATGAATCTTTCAAACACTTAATTAAACTCTATCCATAATATTATATAAGTCCAAACAAGTTTAACCAAAAAATATTTATTTCTCACAATTATGAAGGCTGGAGGGTTAGGGTTAGGGTTAGGGTCATTAATACGGGCCTCCAGTCACGATAACATCAGTAACAGGTCAGTTTGAAATGAAAGACACAATTCTGTTAAATTTTGGGGTCTTTGTTTTTATCCTTGTGGTATCGAAAATGCTATCGAGTATTTTCCTGAGTATCGGTATCCAGTTGAACATTTTAGTATCGTGACGACCCTACTTCTAAGACCCCCCCCCCCCCCCCTCCTCTCTGTGTTCCAGTTCCTGGCCACCCTGAAGATCATGGACTACAGCCTGCTGGTGGGCATCCACGACGTGGAGCGGGCGGAGCAGGAGGAGATGGACGTGGAGGCGGGCGGCGAGGAGGAGGAGTTGGAGGCGGACGGCGTGCTGACCGGCTCCTTCGGCACGCCGCCCGACAGCCCCGGGAACCCGCTCAACTGCGGAGGCTTCTTCGGGCCCGGAGAGTTCGACCCCTCCGTGGACGTTTACGCAATCAAGAGCAGCGACGGTGAGAGAGAGGGAGAGAGAGAGAGAGAGTCAGAGAGTGTGAGTGAGAGAGAGAGTGTGAGTGAGAGAGAGAGAGAGGAGAGAGAGTGAGAGTGAGTGTGTGAGTGAGTGAGAGAGAGAGTGAGAGAGAGAGAGAGACTCCCACATCCAAGTCGGCCATTTTGATTAGGTCAGGTGACTAGCAGCCTTCTGAGGTGGAAACGAAACGTTACTGTCTATCTATACGAAATCAGAAGATAAACGATGTCCTAACCCTTAACCTGACCCTAAACCTAACCCTGACCCTAACCCTAATCCTAAACCTGACCCTAACCCTGTCCCTAAAACTAACCCTAACCCTAAACGTAACCCTAACCCTGAGCCCTCATTTGGGTCAGTTTGGTTAGGCTTTGGACCAGTTTTGGACTGTTTTGTGTTTATTTTGGAGCAGTTTGTGTTCGTTTTGGGTTGGATAGGGTTAGTTTGGGTCAGAAGACAAACGATGTCCTAAACCTAACCCTAACTCTAACCCTTCATAATTGTGAGAAATAAATATTTTTGGTTAAACTTGTTTGGACTTATTGTACAAACCTATTTAACATCCACTATTTTAACATAATATTATGGATAGAGTTTAATTCAGTGTTTGCCAGATTCATTTCACTATTTTTAAATGAATGTCTATATTACCATGAAGCAATTACCATTTTCTTGCCTGGGCTCTTCCTATTGGTGACCTAATCAAAATGGCCGACCTGGATCTCCATCCTGGCCCTCCTGGCCCCTGTGGGGGGGCGTTCTGACGGTTTCTGTGTGGTTCAGGTGCTGGGAGGAGGGAGGTGTACTTCATGGCCATCATCGACATCCTCACGCACTACGACGCGAAGAAGAAAGCTGCACACGCTGCCAAAACTGTGAAACACGGGGTGAGTCCTCACAGAAACACCCCGGTCGCCATGGCAACGCCACGGAGACGCCCGGCGTCGCCA